TCGCGGGTTCTATCCCCGCCCGTGGTATGGTTTGTTTGCAATCGTGTCATTACGATTTCGTGAGTCGAGAAATAAGTTACTGCGTGGGTTACCCTGGAATATTAAGTCGAGTATAGTCGTTATCTTTACTCTGTTTATTAAAGTTGGCCCACTCCTTAACATACTCACTTGCCACATTAATTACAAGTGAGTGAAGAAGGTTTGCTGCTTGTTGGGAGTGTCTGGACCAGGTGTAATGTTCACCGTGTGTGCTGGCAACCCCTCTCCCTCCCTCTCTCTTACCACCTGCCTTATCATGTTCCCCTCATTCACCTCTTTCCTTTTGGCGCTTCCTTGCCAACTTCTCCAACCCCCTTCAACCTCCCCCAGCCCCCCCAGTCCCCCCACCCCTCAACCTCCCCAACCCTCTTCAACCTCCCAACCCTCTTCAACCTCCCCAACCCTCTTCAACCTCCCCAACTCCTTAACCTCCGCATAACCTCAACTCCCCCTCAACCTCCCCAACTTCTTAACCTCCGCATAACCTCAACTCCCCCTCAACCTCCCCAACTGCCCCTCAACCCCCCCATATCCCTCTTTAACCTCCCCAACTTCCTCCTTCAACCTACCCACTCTCTCCTTCAGCCTCCCCAAGTCCCCCCTTCAACCTCCCCAACTCCCTCCTCAGCCTCCCTCAGTCACCATGTGATTCTTGTGTTCGAAGGTTTTCTGGTTGTAAATTATGATGCAGCTTTCTCGCCTACATTCCAAGGAATACAGTTGCATGGACTTGAGGCATTGCCACTAGTCAACAATAAATGTTTGAGTGTATATGGGTAGTGAAAGTTCAGTACTGTTTCTAGCTCAGCAGTCTCGCCCGCCTTTAAGGAATCTGTTAATATACAGCAGTATTCCAGCCTGGCGAGAATAAGTATTCCTTGTCTTGTAAGTTCTAGTTATCCACCTATGATTTTCCTTGTGGTAGCAGTGGCAACATTGTTGCTCTGTGATTTTATATAAGATACAACCATCTGCTGAGCTGAGATAGAAGTAGTTAGGTGGGTGACATGTAAGTGTGTTCACCAGTCCTGAAATCCTGCTGGTTTGTTCTGAATAAATCTGAAGAACTGGTCACTTTGCATGTCAAGTTCCTTTTTGTTCCAACAGTGGTCTTCTTGATGTCTCCTTTTGTAGCAGTAATTGCACCTAATATCTCACAGACAGTTGTCAGTGGTGTGTCCCCTTCAGTGACAGCGGGAGTGTTCCTTAGATGCCTCGGAGGGAGGTCTCTTATTTCCTGCACCTCCTGTGTTTTGCTGCTGATTTAGAAGCTGATTTCTCTTCATTTTCTGCTACTGGTGAGCCCGATGATTATGTATCTGTTAGACATTTTTCTGGAGCTGTGTTAGTGGGAGGTGAGACGGCTGCCCTACCAGATGTATCTTTGCTGTTCATACTTTGACTCGGCACTTACTCAGGTACAGTGTTGGTCACCTGATTGTTAGCTACAATAATTTCTGATAGAGAAGATTCAGAGTCAGGGTCAGCAGATAAAACACTGTTGTTACGTGTACCGGCAGGTGATTATTAAAATGGTATACAGTACTGACAGGTTGGTAAGTAAGACATATATGCAACAGTAAGGCATCTTAATTCCGAAAACGTTTTGCCTACACAGTAAGCTTCTTCAGTCCAGTACAGGAAAGTTGGCAGGAGCAGTAGAGATGTGAAGACGATGTAATCAGTCCATCACCCTTGAAGACGTTTTGAGGTGGTCAGTCCCTCATGGATTACACCTCTCCTTTTGACAGTATACAAGTCTCCATACTGTCGCTTAAACTAAACATTGTTTCAGACTATGGAACAAAACTCTTCTCCAGGCTGAGGGACTGACCACCTCAAAACTTCGTCTTCAAGGGTAGACTGATTATATCGTCTTCAAATCTCTACTGCTCCTGCCAACTTTTTTGTACTCGACTGAAGCTTACTATGTAGGCAAAACGTTTCAGAATTAAGATGCCTTACTGTTGCATATGTGTCTTACTACATGTACTGGCAGGTGCTGGAACACTGAGGTCAGGTGTACTGTTAGGTGTAGGAGAGGAGCTGACAGATCTTGCTTTGTTGTTGGGTAATGGATCTGTTTTCTCTGTGGGGGTCAAAGAAGTTGTAATAGAAAATTTCAGGTTGTGGTGTTTTGAGATCTATCTGCCTTTAGAGCCATGACGCTAATATATTTCCACTAGTTTTTTGTTGTTGTGTTAATCTTATTGTGAGCATTCCAGAATTTGCCAGTATTAGCATCAACTGAGCAACGTGTCGCTTGATGTAGTCCTGTTCTGGTTATCTACGATAGTTTGAAGACAGTCTAATGATTTTAGAAGCTCCTGAAGTGATTCCGTTTGATGGCCTGTCCTGGCTGCAGACTAACAACACAGCCCAGTAGAGGTGATAACTAAGTCGAGTTCCCGAGGCCCCTCCAATCCTTCTTGTTGTGGCACCTAGCTCGTTTCCGGTATATGTATCACAGGTTCTTGGATAACTTTAAAGTTCCTGAGATGATCCACCTGACTACAACAGCAGTCACTTTGTGTCAGGCATGCTATGTGGCATTTAAGATGTACCTGGTGTCTTGTTGTGTATCCACAAATGCTGCAATAATCTTCGGGACAATAAATAGTCTACCTGGAGGGTATTCCGGGGATCAACACCCCCGCGGCCCGGTCCACGACCAGGTCTCCCGGTGGATCAGGGCCTGATCAACCAGGCTGTTACTGCTGGCCGCACGTAGTCCACCATACGAACCACAGCCCGGCTGATCCGGCACTGACTTTAAGTGTCTGTCCAGCTCCCATGCAATGCAAAGATATACAAGAAAAGCGTTTGTGAGATTACGATAAAGTTATGAGTGTGTGTGTGTGTGTGAGAGAGAGAGAGAGAGAGAGAGAGAGAGGGGGGGGGGAAGGTGCGGGGGGGGGCGGTCTGGGGAGGAATGTTGCCTTCATGCGCTCATCATTTAATAATAACTATATGTTATCCACTCACTTCTGATCTCTGTATGTAATCCACTCACTCCCGATCTCTGTTTGTATGTTATCCACTCACTTCCGATCTCTGTTTGTATGTTATCCACTCACTTCCGATCTCTGTTTGTATGTTATCCACTCACTTCCAATCTCTGTTTATGTTATCCACTCACTTCTGATCTCTGTTTGTATGTTATCCACTCACTTCCGATCTCTGTTTGTATGTTATCCACTCACTTCCGATCTGTTTGTATGTTATCCACTCACTCCCGATCTCTGTTTGTATGTTATCCACTCACTTCCGATCTCTGTTTGTATGTTATCCATTCGCTTCCGATCTCTGCGTACCTTCTTCCAAGGTTCGTAGGCTCGAGTCTCCGTCGACCTGAGAGTAGTGTTTGTGAATATTTCGCTTGTTCTGCGAATTCTAAAAACAAACACACACACACACACACACACACACACACACACACACACACACACACACACACACACACACACACACACACACACACACACACACACACACACACACACACACACTCACACACACACACTCACACCACACACACACACACACACACACACACACACACACACACACACACACACACACACACACACACGCACGCACGCTCACGCACACGCTCACACACACGCTCACACACACACACACTTCACATTTTTTTAACAGAGTTCAACAAGGTTAGGTTAAGGATCCCTAGCTTTACTAACAAGCTATTTACAGGTTAAGGATTCTTCTTAACTTTATTGACAAGTTAAGAGCTGTTACCTACATCAGCTCATTTGAAAGCATTTTTATTGTTATGAAACATACAAGTAGGGAACAAGATGAAGTTGGAGCCATCTGTGGGCCAGCATTTTCATCTGATCAACTGACCTTGTCTCGTTGACATCATAATGCTGTACGAATGTGTTCCAGACTCGAGTCATCCTGGAGATAAATGATCTCAGATGAAGTGATGTTCTGGTGAAGGGTACAGCCTGAGTACAGTTGCTGCTTTCTGCCCGTCTTGTGGTATAGAAGCTTGCTTCACACTGTCCTCGAAGTGGATCCAAGTGTGGTACTTTGACAATATTGGCCTTTCTCTCTCTCTCTCTCTCTCTCTCTCTCTCCTTCCTCTCTATCCTCTCTATCCTCTCTATCTCATCTCATTCTCTCTCTTCTTCCTCTCTCTTCTTCCTCTCTCTCTTCTTCCTCTCTCTCTTCTTCCCCTCTCCTTCCTCTCTCTTTCGTGCATGCATGTGCACGCGCGCACACACACACACACACACACACACACACACACACACACACACACACACACACACACACACACACACACACACACACACACACACACATACATTTTACACTGTTACAGTATGTACTTGTATTATACTGAACATAAGTTAGCAGTGTTATTACCATCTACATTGTTTCTTGTATATAGTGTAAACATAAACTTACCAAATGATCTGTTCTGTCCAGTCAGGCATTTGTACACGAGAGACATTTTTTGGGTTTTGTGTTTGCAATGTTTTTTATATATATATAGTGTTAATAAATATTCATTTTAAATTTAAAAGTTGTAATATGCATTTCTTTTTTAATTTTATGCAGAAAAACAGCATTACATTCAATATTTGTTGCTTGTGAATGTTAGTGATTAAGGACAATTCTTAATGGAAGACTTGATGAGTGGTGTGGTGATGTCACCATGCCACGTTCATCAGTTTATGTCAGACTCAATTGGCCTTCTAAAGATGGTGATGCAGTGGCTCAGGGTGATGCTTTGCTCCACTACCAGAATGATCTCAAAGTTACACTCTCACCTACCACTAGAGAGAAAACTTTTCAGCAAGGAGGTGGTCACGATCAGGAGAAACAGTCTCAGAAGGACCAGAACAATTCTTCGATGTGTGTTTGTATCCCATCAGCTAAAATGATTCCTACAGCTTCAGGTGTATCAACATCTGTTTATGCCCCATCAGGTACCCGTGTCTCTTCCTCAAGCGTTAAACAGGAGACTGCACAACACGCTGGAGCCAAGCCAAAAATTAAGCAAACTTCAAAAGAAAATCTACCAAGTCGATCTGCCCATGTAATTCTGTGTACAGACATCTCAGCTACAAAAACAGGCTTTTCAAACCATTCACCTGCAGTACCATGCTTAGATGCTAGTGTTAGTCTTGACTCTCCATTTTGGTCAGGAACAGAGCAGGGTGTGTGTGACGTGAAACAGGGAGAGAGACTAGGCCATAGTATAATCTGTGGAAGTAATTCTAAAGTTAGTGGTGGAAGTCTTAAGTCACATCAGAAGCCAAAGACAAAGTCAAAGTCTCGAAATCTTAAAGGCAGAAAAATTACACGTTCACTAAGTGCATCGTGTGTAAGTGTTAGTACAAATACAGACCCCAGGGATTTTATGGAGTTGGCAAAGGTGTGTGCTACATTGCCAGGGCGCAGGAGACTCGAGGAACCCAGTGATGAAGCAACAAATGTTATGGAAAACAAAGAATGTTATTCTCCTTCCAGTAGTGATAAAACTTCACAGCCAGAAGAGAAATGTCCATTGGAAAATGGTGATGTAGCCATTAATACATCCTTAAAGCTCACAGATAAGAACACTGTCTCACAAGATCTCTGCCTTGAAGACACTGAATTACAGAATGTGAAAGAAATGTCGAATAAAATAATTGATAACATAATGGAGGGCTGTGTTAATGAATTAAATGAAGTGGCATGTACTAGCAAAGGATTAGGAGAACCTGAGAGCTTCAGTAGTCAACGATGTGCAGGTGATGGTTGTGATGATTCCAACAAAGGATATATTGAGCTACCCACATACAAATCTAGTGAAAACTTATCGTGCCGTACTGCTTTTATGTATGAGCAATTTGATTGTTTAACTAGTGAAAGCTCATTAGTTGGGCAGTTATACACACCTTCACCTCAAACAGAAAATGATTCAGATATTTTACCAACAAGCCAGAGTTTAAGTGTTTATGAAGGAATAATCTTAGAGAAAAGGCAAGTTTTAGATAAAGAAAAGAGATTTATATTTGTTAGTGAGCAGGATAGACTCCCTACAGTGTCTACAGACATGAAAATTATGGACAGTTACAATATTCAACCAACTAATCCAGTAACAGTCCTCAGTTATATATCTGTTCCTCCATCTGCTTGTGACAAAGTAGAAATGAACTTGTTTAAGTCATCATTTACGTCCCCCATTATCGATATCCAAGCTTCAGAAAATGCACAGGAGCAACTTGATTTTCTTTATTTGCCATCCCATAATAGTAAAAGTGAAAGTTTCCAAAAGACATCTAATAATGAAGATATAGAGACTGACATGAATGTATTAGCACTGAAGAATGAAGATCTGGATTCTTCACCAGGTTGTTCATATCTCGCTCTCATGAAGGATCAGGCCATTCAGCCTGTACAAAGAAAACAGTTAAACAAAGAAATATCAATAGAATCTTGCCCAGATGTTGTTCTTCAGACACTGGAGGGTGAAGGTTTTTCAACCCAGAAAAGTTTAAAGAAAACTGTCACTTTTCTGCTGCCACCTGAACACTGGGATTCCCTCATCTCTCTTAGGGAGAGTAACAGTAAGTTACACAGTAAGAGCATGTTGAGTGACCCACCAGTAAATGAATTTCCTTTTTACTTGCATTAATTTTGTGTGAATGTGTTTTGCATTCTAATGCTTTTCTAGCTTCCAGTGATAAACTTTTAAGATAAGTAACCTGTTTACAGTAGTATTGTAAACTAAAACATTTTTAATAGGGTATTATTAATAATATAGTGTTCCTATTAATGTTAACATTAATATATTTTCCAATAAAATATATTTGATAGTGTTTCTTAAGCCCATATTTATGCAAAGCATTTTGGTATTACTTAAGCTAAAAGGAAATACCAGTAAAACATATCAATATACTGTAGTAGACATCATTATCACAGGGAAAATAAATAAAATAATACATACAGGAGGGCAGGTTAGGTTCCAGGCTACCACTGCAAAGCGAATTGCCCATTTTTTCACTTTTAAATCTTTTAAATACATACATATAAATGCCTGATAATATGTTTACACTATTATATATCAAGTTAGCAATAGAACTAGACCAGGAAACAAAAAAGTAAAATGTATATACAGTACAACCATTACTTAACCTTAAAATATTGTTGGCCTTAACGTAGGGTGAAAGGTGAGTAGCATTTATTGTAGGAAACCAGGAGGAGATGAAGCCAATCTCTGCTAGCTTCAAGTTTTTCTTCAGCAGCTTCCTCACCTACCTCAGCCTTCATAAAATTGAAAAGACTTAGGACTTGGACTGGATAATGGCTCGGCTGAAAGGCACATTGCAACTAGTTTGATCTTCAGTCCACACCAGTAAAAGTTTTTTTTATGTCAGCAATAAGATTATCACATTTTCTCATAACTTTAGTGTTCACTGGTGTAGCACTTTTAATTTTCCTGCAATTAATTCACTTTAGTGTTCATTTAACCCTTTCAGGGTCCAGACCCCCGATCTGAAACTTGTCCACAGGGGCCCAAGAATTTTCTTATGAAGTGATAGAGAATCTTTTTCTGAAGGTAATACAACAAAAAGTACAAAATTTGATGGAAAATTGACGAAATTATGCTCGTGAATTTTGCTGCATCAGCGATGTTTACACATAGGCGGTTTTGCACACTTTGGCCCCCATTTTAGGCCAATTACATTATTCCAGTTAACCAAATTCTTAGCTATTTCACTAGTATTACTTCCATTTTATCGATCAAGCATAAGAAATCACCAAGTCGGCTGTTTCAACTACCTAATAAAGTGATCAGAAATTGGTAATTTGGCCAATTTCAAAGTTCAGAATATTCCAATTTCAAAATAGGGTCCAGAATAAGCACTGTAGGCATTCCTGGTGTACTAAAATGACATCTCCTCTGTTTATTAGTTATGTTTCCAGGCTTTACAGATGAATTTCATTTTAATTTTTTTTATTCACATAATGAATTTTTATTCACACCAAAAAATAGGATATTTACTGTTTTGCAATATTGTAATAATTGTATAAATAATATTAGCACATTCTTGAGCACACATTAGACCCACCAGCTGACATGTATTGGATGCGTGACGACATTTCTTTACTCTTGAGCATCGGCAAAAATCGAACATTTCAACTACTTTGAGTTCAGTTTCAAGCCATTTTCACTAATAAAACCAATTGAAACCATCTCTATTTCTGTAATATGTCTTCCATTTTATCAAATGAGACCAAGAAACCATGCATACAACTGTAAAAAGCATAGGAAGAACACCGCAAAGTCGCTGTTTTAATCCATAAAACTGTTGCCGTTTTTTTCTCATTATGCACCGCGTGCTGTGGGATTTATGTGGTGCACACTTACCACATAGATGTATTCTGTCATGTCTAGGCCCAAATTTACTGCTCACAGCTTATCCGAGTGAGCTGCGCTCATGGCGTAGAACTATGGCTTGGACCCAGGCTTCAAAACTGTAGAACTACAGAACTACAGGGTTAAAGTAAGAACCTTGCAACATAATAACTTTAAAGCACTTGAAACTTTGGGAAGTTTCCAGATGAACCGAGAGAGATGCAGAGCTCATGGCAGCACCCAGTCTCACTTATAGAAATAAAAATTATTATTATTATTAATTTTTTATTATAAAACCCCATGGGGAGGATACTCCTTAAATGTGTATATGGTGTTATTGTTTTGGGTGGGCGGTCAGATTTATATGTACAGTGGTACCTCAGGTTACAAACAGCTCAAAACTCAAACAATTATGTAAATGTATTTATGTAAGTGCTCTTGTAAGTATTTTTGGGGGTCTGAAACGGATTAATCTAATTTACACTATTCCTTATGGGAACAAATTTGTTCGGTATCGGCACTCGAACAGCCTTCTGGAATGAATTAATTTCGTATCCCGAGGTACCACTGTATTTCATACGGATCCACAGGTTGTTGATACTCTTTCATCTGGCGTTATGCATATGTTTGTGAAGCTTTTCCCCACAATACAGACACATTACATTGTGTATAAGTTGTCTTCACATTGGTGCAATTTTAGAGTGAATGGTGTTATGAGTGAAGGCATACGAAAGGAATGTTTTTATACAGTTAACCCCCAATAATACTGTACATAGTTTCTCTGGTGGTGTTGTACTAGAGAAAACGAAATTCTTGCTGTCACATCTACAAGCTGCCTGGCTGCCACACCTCACATTTATGTTAATTTGTTTTACTATTTATGTATTTTTTTATGTATGTAGTGTGTTTCTTATATAATGTTGAAATGTCATATATGGATTAATTTATGATAATGTAATATATGACATTTAAAGTGCTCCAGAGCAGTGATTATTATTATTGCATCTTCAACACTAGTGAGACGCTCTTAGCTACTACCTTGCCTAGCGTAGCTGCTACTGCTTTTTTACAATGTTAGATAGTGATTTTAAGGTACCTGCACTTCAGCACAGTGTGTAAGTTTATTTAGGTAAATACAGTTATCAGTAGTATCTCAGTACTGTTGCAGCCATAGATACCTTGCTCACCAAGTTTAATCATTTCTAACTTTGCACTTAAGGTAAGAATCTTATGACTTCTCTTTTCATCACAGCTACCCTTAGACGTCATTGTAACCCAAAAAGAGTACAGTAGGGCCCCGCTTATATAGCAGATTAGGTTCCAGGCTACTGCCAGAAAGCAAATATTGCCATAAAGCAGAATGCCATTTTTTCCACTTATAAATGCATATAAATGCCAGATGACACGTTTACACTAACTTATATTAAGTTGACAGTAGAACTAGGCATTAAGAAAGCTATAAAAAGTAAAATACACAGTTCATTCATTACTTAGAATATTTGTTGTCTTAATGTAGGGTGTGAGGTGAGTATGTATTGTAAAAAAAGGTCAGGTGTGGTAGCTCCCACACCATGTCTTCATATACGACACGAAGAATGAAAACAAACAAGATGAATGAGTAAGGGGAGTGACTCGGTCAGACGCATATTAATACCTTTCCACTTTTCGCTCATACAGGTACATTTGCATGAGTTGGTGAAGCATTTACCCCACACTACAATGTGTACAGGTTGTATTCACATTAATGCATATGAAAGGAATAATTTTCTACAGTTATCCCTAGTAATACCATTGTGTAAACATTTTGGTGTAAGATTAGAGAAAACATAATTCTTTCCTTCACTCCAAGCCGCCCGAGACCATATTTCATATTTGTCAAATTTATTCAACTGTGGGTGTATGTATCATGTTTATATTTATGTAGCATGTTTCTTATATAATTTTGAAAATCTATCATAGAGTGATTAATGAAAATGTCTGTATTAATGTAATATATGACATTTAATATGCCCCTGAGCGATTATTATTACGTATCAGTATTACCATCGTTATTATTAATATGGCATCTTCATCACTGAGTGAGACACACTTAGTGATTTTAATGTGTACCTACATGCCAGCACAGTGTGTAAGTTTATTTAGATACAGGTACACGCAAGTAAAATTATCAGAGTACCATATATAAAATACACAATAACTTTAAAACACTTGTAATATTGGAAAGTTTCCAGACATAATGGAGAGACTTGGAGCTCACGAAGCATGTAAACAGAGTGGAATGTGGAGACCATATTAGTGGGTCAGGTGGGGGGGAGGGAGCCATATAACGATTTTTAATCATAATTTGAAATGTCCGTATTAGCAAAAACCATAAGGCAAAATGCCGTATAGCAGGGCCCTACTGTATGTGTAACATATACAATAACTTTAAAGCAATTGAAACTTTGGAAAGTTTCCAGATGTAATCAGAAGAGAGACAAAGCTCATGGCTGATGTAAACAGAGAGTGGACGAGTGGCGCATAGACACCGTAATAGCAAATCAGGAGCCATATAAATGGATTTTTGGGTATAATTAGAAGTCTTCATATTAGTGAATTGCAGTAAAGCGGGACCCTCCTGTGTATGTATATATAAATTTTTTTTGAGATGCTGGCCATCTCCCATTGAGGCAAGAACAAAAAATTTAGAAAGCCTTGGGATCAAATCTGTAACTTATAAACAAAAATGTGGAGTTATTAAATAGGGAGGTGGAATTACTGGGAAGAGAGGGAATAATTTCAGGAGTTGTGTTGATAAAGAGAGGGAGGCAGTGATTTTGTGCTGTGGGTAGGGAGGTATAACATCTTTTAGGAGTGAAGAAGAGTCAGATGTGAATGTGGGGGAAATGTGTAAAGCAGTAGGTAAAAGGGAACAAGGAAAAGCAGCTGAGGTAGACGAGGTGACAGAAACGTTAAAAGTAGTTGGAGATATAGTTTTGGAGTGATTGGTGCATTTGTTCAATAAATGTATGAAAAGTGGGGAGTTACCTAGGGATTGCCAGAGAACATGCATTTTTCCTTTGTATAAGGGGAAATTGGGAAAAAGGAGAGTAAGAAAGGCTTGTGAACAATCCTGTTGAGTATCCAAGTAAAGAAAGTGTATGGTAGAGTTGTTATTGAAAGAATTAAGGTTAAGACAGAAAGGAGGATAGCAGAGGAACAAGGTTT